GGGGCCAGCGGAAGGGAGCAGCCCACTCAGCCGCTGCTCCCGTTGCAGCAGCCCCGAGCATCTGCAGCCCCGGGGCACAGGTCCACTCCGCCAGACCCAGTCCCTGCCACCCAACCTGCGCCTCGGCGACCTCACACAGGAGGCTGGAGGTAAAAAGCCCGAGGTGCTGGTGCAGTGGGACATGCAGGGCCATGGGTCCTGCACAAGTGAGGGCAAGATGTCCTGGCTCTCATACCTTTCCTTCCCTGCAGCTTCCTCCAAGGATGCAGGAGAGGAGAGAGCCGTGCCAGCACTGGAGAACTCCCTGGTTTTCAACAAGCTCGGCGAGTCAGGCAAGCAGCCCTGAAAGCCACACTGTAGGGACACCGGGCTCCGCAGCTGCCCCAAAAGATGACAGCAACGAGCTGTCTTTGTCCTGCAGGTTTTGTCCAGCTCCCCACGTCTGGGCGCATCTACAAAGTGCCCAGCGTGAGCAGCGATGAGATCTGGCTGTGAGATGCGGCACAGTGCCTGTGAGCCAGTGCTGCCCAGCACCAGGGATGTACCAGCCCCAGAGAAGCGCAACCAAGGGTGCAGGGGAGGCCACGCTGGGCACCCACCAGCCCCCAGCTGTAGATTAAGGTACGTGCTGCAGGTCTCAGTAGCTGTGTGGTTAGCCAAGACATGTTTTTATGTAGCCTGTGTACTTTATAAGTAGACTATTATAATCAAAAATGTACCAAAGCTGTGTATAGCCAGGCTCTGCCAGGCTTCTCCTGGGGCAAGGCCAAGCACTAGCTATGCTTGAGTAGGTCCATGCTCTGCTCACTGTGTGACCCTCTCCACCCCTGCCTGAACTGGGTCAGATGGGTGGGCAGGCAGTGTGGCAGGGGCCAGAGACAGTTGTCCCAACAGCAATAAACTAAACTCAAGCATCTGCATGGTGCCCTACTGGTTATTTCTCCTTGGTGGTAGCAAAGGGGCTTGAAAATAGAAAAAGGGGCTCAATAACATGGGGCAGAGGAGGTCAGAGATCCCCAGATCAGGCCTTAAAACACACAGGGCAGATCTGACTGTTGTGTCTGAATCTGGAATTTATTCTCTTACTTACTACAGCACTTGTAGGAATGGGCTCAAGGAGCCTCTGCTCTGTGGTGCCTACAGCACAGAGAGCCTGTTATTGGGAAGGCTGGTTTAATGCTGAATTCCTGGGAACAAGTCAGACTTGGAGCAATTCCGTAGCTTCTGCATTAAATGTGATGGGCAAAATCCACCTTTGCTCTGCGGTGCCTACAGCCACAGCTTCTGCATTAAATGTGATGGGCAAAATCCTACCTTACAAACACAGAATAGTTCAGCAATGTTTGTAACACCTGGGAGGCCTCTCAAGGGCTGTGCACAGCTTCCCAGGCTATTTTGGTCACATCTCAACATTCAACAGCAGATGTTGATCCAGGAGAAAAGGGTTTAATGGGAAGCTTCAAGTAAAGGTTAGCACTTCTTCTGCTGCTTGTGAAGATGGGTTGGGTGGCGAGGTCCTGCCCCTATTCCCCTCAGCCAGGGGCTTGAAATGCTGCAGGGGAAGAATGTGTAAGTGCCAAGAGCTGACACGCGTGCTGAAGGTACAAGCTACTTCTGCTCTGTGTGAGCCGTGTGCTCCTCAGGTGGGAAAGACATTCTGGGGGCACACTGGGCTGTAAACACCATGGCACCCCAGCCATGGCAGAGGCTCCTTGTGTTGAGGTACTCAGGAAATGAGAGGCTTAGAAAATACCTTTGGACTCTTTGGACCCCAAAGGCAAGGGGAGAAGCTCTGCAGTACTTCCAGCAGGTGAGCCAAGCCTGCCCAGAGCAGCTCACCTGTGAGTTCTTGAACTCCGAGTAGAGGGAGAAGAGGACATGAAGAGGCTGGATCTGACTTTTGTACACGGGGATGTCCAGGATGGCTACAAGGAACAGCGGAGGAGTGTGAGAGCACTGGGGCTGCAGAGAGGGCTGTAAGGAAAGGCTGAGCACCCCACTTCCCACGACCACTTGGGCCACTGCTCCCTGCTCAGTGCAGGACTGTGGTACAAGAGTCTGCTCCCTCCTGAAGGCAGCATTGAATGATCTCACCTGCCCAGGCTGAGCCTGTGCCCAGAGGTCTCTTGCTTTCAGTGACAGTGCCAGGCCAGCAGCACACCTGTGTCCCCAGCACAGCCCCCACTTACCACATATCATGTCGATGTACTCGGGCAGGTCACAGCTCATCTCGGCAGTTGGGAGGCCCACCTGGAACAGACAGGGCCGTCAGCTTTGAGAGCATGCATGGATCTTGCAACAAGCACAGAGGCCACCTGGGCAGCAGCCAGGAATTTGGGCATGAGGCTGCTCCCTGCCTTCTGTTAAGTGAGGAAGGAACAAAGCTGAGTGGGTCAGGCTGCAGGCAAAGAGCTCAAAACAGGGCAGGAACCCAGCTTTCCTGGAAGATGGTTTCTAACACAGCACGCTGAGCCAGCCACTTATCACTGGGACAACATACCTTTCCCAAGAGCTCCTCGAATTCTGGTGACCATTCCTGCATCAGGCTCTCAATGTCAGGCATTGGCCTGCCAGGGAAGAAAAGGACATAAAAGTCAGGATCACATGCAACTGAAATGGCTTCATCCTGGCAGATGGCTGTGGAGGGGGCAGCCTCAACCCCTTGAGAGAGCTGTACATGTGCCGAGGGTCAACGTGGGCATTTTTATTTATTAAAACAGGCCTGATCTTGTTAATTTGCAAGTTCTGTGTGCTAGTTGTTAAACTAATTCAAGTTATGTAGGGAAGGAGAGTAAACTTAAGTGTCCTGCACACATGCGTGGCAGGACTAGTCTGGAACTCAGCATGTCTTCCTCTCAGAGAGATGTTTCCTGGGCTGCCTGCTGGGCTGAGGCTGCAGGAGCGTGTGGGCGCAGCTGCTGTCCAGCTCACCTGGTGTACAGGACCGTGGCGGGAGGTTTGCAGCGGTGCAGCTCACTGATACTCTCAATCCAGCTCTCAATGGCTTTGGGGTTCTTCTCTGCATTCTCCAAACTCTTCACTTTTATCTGCTGCTAAAAACCAGAAATAGAAACCTGTGAGCCCCTTGTGGCATTTTGGGGCTTTTTTGCAAACCCTGCATTTGCTCCTGATTAACCAAGTACTTTCTCTTTCCTAGTTGCACTAAACCAACTGATTTCTGCTGATTTCTGCAGACAGAAGAGCAGCCAGGAAGCAAAATGCTGAGAGAGACCAGGTAGTGACAACCAAAAAGAAACAAAGCTTCACTTGAAAGAAACGGATCCAAAGTCTGTACCAAGACTGGCCTGAAGCAAGGTAGTTGAAGTTTAAAGCTATAGGTTAAAGGAAAAGGTCAGTTTTTTTCTGCCTTTAAAGCCAGGTTATCAGTAGCGCTGCAACACTGTAGTCACATAGAGATGAAGGTAAGAGTAAAATGCAATGGTTTTGGTACAGCCAGTGCCTTCCCCTCTCCGTGACTCACGCTGATGTTGTGCTGCTTGCAGTTCTCTGTCAGCCAAAGGGAGAGCACAGTGGGGTCTGACTGCTTGGTTGAGGGCTCGTCCAGGACCAGCAGGCCGAGGTGATCGGGTTTGCCATCGGGAGGGGGAACCTGTGGGTAAACAGAGACCCTGAACCCAGAGCTGGGGGAATTGGGGCTGTTTTGTACAGAGCCTGCCCCTGGTTTAAAAAACTGACAGGAATGGGTAGGCACGTGCTGTCTTGCATGTAAGTTGTTAGTGAAGCCCAACCCGAACAGCACAAGGTGCTGGACAAGGGGAAATGCAGCCCTTGTCTGTTTCAGCTTGGGTGGCAGAAGGTCCAGGGGAGCCTGCAGCAATTGTACCTTTAAGAACGCGTCGATGTCTCCAACTGCAGGAATAAATTCTGGAATGAAAGGCTGCAGTTTGGGCTCAATTGCTATTGTTTTGGGGGTGTACCTGGAAAAAAAATGCAGCAGTGGGGGTGACGGTGACCTGTGCTGCAAAACTTGCCACAAAGGAGAGCCAAGAGTGGGCTAAAACCCCTCCCACTCACCTCTTGATGTACTCAAAGAGTTCTTTGATTTCCGAAGACACTGGCAGGTAGTCAAAATCTGCTAGGCTGAAGTCACTAAAGAAAGGAAGAGAAGAATAAGAGAAGAAAGGAAGAGGGATGTGAGCATTAACCATGGTAGGTTCTGCACAGGTGGGAACTGAAACCCAACTGCATGGGACAATCACAAAGGAAGGTGGAGGATGAGGTAAGTCATCTCTTAATCAAACTTCTTACACGCAAACAACACTGTTGGGTTTGCCCACGGAAAGGAGCATCCCGTGCTGAGGACCACAGCCATGCTCACCCTTGTGGAATCGTGAACACAGCAGTGGAGCACCCCCCCAGCACCAGACCCCGGCTCCTTGGGCTAGTTCCTCCACCCACCCTTCTGCTGTAGCCCCGTGCTCCTCCGAGTCGTCCTCCGAGTCGGTCTCGGAGGAATCCTCTTCTTCCGAGTCATCGTCGTCATCCTCGTCATCCTCCTCGCTGAGAGCGGCGGAGGGGGCCGAGGCTGCCACCTTTTCCCCCAAGGTGAGAGGGTCCGGGCCTCATCAGGCTGCCCCACCGGCGTCCCCCTCCCGCCACC